CAAAAAAAAAAAGGGTTGTTTTTCATATATGTCACACTGAAAGGATCACTCTGCCATGTTGGAGAGTAGCTAAACTAAACTGAAGGCTTGCTAAACAGATGCTTCAGTGACTGAATGAAGGAAACAATCCACGTAAATGGCAGTGGACAGTTACTCACCGTTTTCCAAGCGAGACTCTCCATGATAACGTGTTCGCACTGCTCCAGGTGCTTCATCATGTCATGTTTCAGGGTGGGCTCGGCTTTAATGAAGCTCTCTATCACCTTGTAGAAGTCGAAAGCAGGCAGCTGGAAGACGTCCAAGATCCAGGGGAAGCACAGATCAGTTTCCACAGAATCGCTGGCCCCTAAGTTGCGGCCAAAACCTCCACTCTTTAAGGAGTTCCCTGGAAAAGGAAGCAGCATGTGCGGCTAATGTATACAAGATTGTTCTATTTTAAATGCAATCTATAAACTGAAGCTAAAAAAGGCTTTGGATAACACTATGAGTTGTTGTAAAAGTGTAAATGGCAAGCACTTACCGACATAGGTTGCTATTACAACTTCCAGGGCACATGCAAGCAATGAGGTATGGAATGCTGCATTGTTGAGAAGTTTACTGAAAAAGGAAGTAACATGATTAATTGTCAGTGTATATTTCATAACAAAACCACAGATTATTTATGGCCGTAATGATCTGATAAATGATGGTTAATGATCTGAGATGATGTTTATATTGTTCTTACCTGAAGTTTTGTACAGATAATCTCTTCTCCTCCTAAAAACAGCACAAATGTGACAAGCAGAAAAAAAAAAAGACTAATAATATGATTGAAAGTTTTATTAAGGCTTACCGATTTAAGCATGGACTCCATGACTTTGTAGTAGAGCTGGGCACCAAGATTAAACCGCTGAAAATACACACAATAAAGTTTGTCCCTTTGTTGTACAAAAGCTACATTATTACCATTCAAAGGTTGGGGTTGATTTTTTTTTTTTTTTATAAAATATTAACAAGATAAGGTTTTAGAAAAAAAGTCTCACCAAGGCTGCATTTCTTTGATCATAAAAAAATTCAATAATATTGTTTAATATTATTACAATTTAAAATGACTGTTTTCTATTTTAATATATTTTAAAATAAATTAAAATGACAGAATTTTCAGCAGTCTTGGCACTCAAGAAACATTTCACATTATTATCAATGTATTATCAAATGGTTGTGCTGCTTAATATTTTTCTGAAAACTATAGATACATTTCTTTTCAGGATTCTTTGATGAATGAAGTAAAAAAAAACAGCATTTATTTGAAATCTTTTGTTAATGTTACTGTCACTTTTGAACAATTTAATGCCTCCTTGGAGTCCTTGCTAAACAGTAGTATTAAAAATCCTTCTAACCAGTTACTGTTATCTAGGGTGTCATTTATGGATTCACAAACATTGAAATAATTACCACTATTATGGCAGCATAAACAAAAAGGCCTGATATTGTCTGATTCAAATTAGATAGACTTATCTACAACCGTACCAGTATGATGGTGATAAATGTAAAAAGAAAAATGTTTAGCAGTACCTTTCTGCCCAGCCCCTCACAGTGTTGGCCCACAGCCTGCGCAAACCTCTTGATGAAGACCTGACCCAGCTCTTCAACCCTCTTTCTGATCTCTTCAGATGGGTCAACAGTGCAGTTCTGAGAAACACATTCCAAATATATTATTATATATTACTTTGTTTCTGTGTAATATAGATCTGGCTTTTCTGTTTAGCAAACATAATCTTTTTTAAAGGAAATACCTTGTAATAGACTACAAGATTGCTTGAGGGCTGGTCACTGACTGAGGTGAGATCAACCCTGAGCTGCTGTATAGAGTTCATTGCAGCCCTGGAAAAACAAAACATGGAACATGAGGGAAAAGAGAAAAGTGCTTGCAGGACTTAAGGTTGGAAAAGTTTCCATTATGGTAAAATGTTTTCAAGGAGACCTTTGCTATTGGAAAGTGAACTTCAACAAACTCAGTTAGAAGAGGTACTTTTGCTCATATACATCCTTCAAGAAATCAATTAATAATATGCATTTATAAAAGCTCTCCAGTCGAATATCCATTAGAGTACAGTGTGTTCCCATTAATAAGCAAAACCCAGGATAAGTCAGAGCTTTGGGGGCCACGTGAAAACACCAAAACCAGATCTCAGAGGGAATCCCATCATGTGGCATAAGCTTAGAGCATTACAAAACTGCTAGGTGCACATAATGCCATTCACACAAGTGACCCTGACAAGTGAGCAAATTCCCAAGCTGCTTTTCTTCAAAAAAAAAAAAAAGGTTTCAAAGATTTAGGAAATCATTCTGATATGCTGATTTGGTGCTTTTTTAATTAATGTTGATGGGAGAATTGGCTCATTCTTTCATGTTCTGGCTACTGAAGGAGCAAAGTCGCACCTGATTGGGGTCTGTGGAACTGGAATTGCAACATCATCTCCAGACAGATTCTTTCTTGGAGTCATTTCCACCTTTGACCTATGAGGAATATTGACATTTATTCCAAAAACATATGTATCTGCAAAAATGTATGACAACATGATTTTAATTTGATCACACTTACACTTCTGTTTTGCTGGGGGAAAGCGTCTCATCATCAACCAAGAACAACCTGGCATCAAAGTCCTTGTTTTTGTGGTACAGCTCTTCGTATTGCTTGGAAAGTGTTTCCAGCTACAATAAAAGCAGAACAGATGGCCACATGCATTACTTTAATTCAGACATTGGAAGAAAATTGTACTTTATGTCTTTCTCATAGCTGTTACTTTGTTAATAATCAGAGCTGAACCTGCAATAACATTACTAATTATCACCATGCAAACAGAGAGTCCATAAAACTGTGTACATAGTCCAACATGTAACAAGTTATAAAATACAATACAGGCAAGTTCAAATTCATAGTCCAAGGTGGGAAGCACCCCATGGGGATTTGATTATTATCAGTTATCTAAAAACCCTATAGCTCTCAAAAGCAGAAGCAGCTTTTTTTGTTTTGCATATTACTCACAGGAGGAAGTCCTTGGAGTCCTGACAGACCCACAGAGTCCAGGAACGCACAAAAAGTCGTCTGGTACACGTTTTTCACCTGAAAAAGAAAATAACACGACCTCTGGTTAGAAAACAGAAAAAGCTCCATGCATGCGATGAGCTTCTTTTCACACATAGTTATGTAAATGCAGACGTGATTATCCAAATAAGATCTATTTTATGGACACAAGCGGTGTTTGAAAGCTTGCAACGGCTCATGGGATTGTATCTGAATGAGTGCCAACCTCATCCACACTGCAGTCGCTCTCCTTGCACAGTGTTTCCAGCAACTGCACGTCCATCTCTGGAGGACGGGTTTTGGCTTTGCCCTGATTACGTCGGGATGTCCTAGTTGGAGGACTCAAGGTGGATGAACTAAATGCTGACTCTGGAATGAAAATACAAGAATAATAACATAATTTCGGTTAACGGAGATAACAGGGTAGTTGCAAGCCAGAAAAGGCTGATCCTTGAGATACTATCACTATGCCCTTAAGCAATGCACTTAACCACTTGTCATTCCAAGTAAAATAAGGCTGTTTTTAAGGTGTCCTCACAAAATGTAAATAACATAAATTTCACTCCCCAAAATGACACTGAAAAGTCTCTGTTACTGTACTAAATGCTGCAAATACCAGCAGGAAAACACTGATACCAATAATTTTTTGTATTTGCCCAAATAATTCTCACTAAATAAATTATTTTCACTTATTTACTCAATGGCATTTAAAACATGTCTCCGAGTAGAGAAATGTGAGGAGCACTCACTGTAGGGTGACTGAAGCAGAGATGGAGTGAAACGCTTGGTGAAGAACTCCAGAACACACAGCAGCAACTGGAAGGCTATCACAAGGTCATCCTCCATCTGCAGAAATGTTCCTGTACAGGATAGATGACACAAAAACAAGAAGTGACAATGTGGCCATGAGGATACTCTATCCATGACACATATAACCCAGAAAACTCCACTCACAAAAGCAGAAACTGTAAACAAGGCTTATTATTTACATGGACAAGCAATGGAATGTGACAAACATTTCCATTTTTCCTTAATGACTCACCCTTGGCCAAGAGGAACATGGTCCAACTGCTTTCCCAAAGCTCTGTTCTCCTTGAAGGAAACATACATGGGACAGTAAGATCACCAGTGTTGGGGAGTAACTAGTTACATGTAACGGCGTTACGTAATTTAATTACAAAATAAGTGTAACTGTAATCAGTTACATTTACTAAGAAAAAATGTGTAATTAAATTACAGTTACTTATGAAAATGTTTCGCCATTCGATAATTAAATCTCTACTAAATCATGAATGGGTTAGTTGTGACTGGCAATGCTTCGGCTTGCGCGCTCTCTGCGCCTCCGCCAAACGGTTTGGATCAGAGTAATCAATGCGAGAGAGAGAATGGAGTGGACTGTGGAAGCGCACA